GTATCTCTTGCACTGATTCAATTGATCACTTTCCTGAGCCTAAAAAAAGGATGTGGTAAAACCACAGTTCTTTCCTTCAGCAACCCCTCTGGCAAAATGATGCAGAGCCAGGAGATAATCTCAGCTACCCTGAGGTTCCTCAAGGGTACATGATACTGTCCCTGGGGAAAGGAGACAGGGAATCCCATAGCTGACATCAAACCTGTCAGGAAATCATCTTGGCTCTGCCTTCAAAATACATCCAGAATGGATCACTTACCAACACCTCCTCTGCTACCACCGTGGGTCAAGGGAGGCCTCTCAGCTGACTATTCATTAGCTTCCTACCCAGCCTTCTGGTCCTCTCCACTCCCACCTCCGGGCAATTCTCCACATGGTAGGAGTCACAGTGCATGTGTTAAAACCCAAGTCAAACTAGTCCCACCTCTGAAGGAAAGTCTCTGGAGGCTCCCATCTCACTCTCATTTGGGCCTTCTAGCACTGCTCCCACTTGTCTGGAGAGCCTTCCCAGATACCCACGTGGCATGTTCCCTTCACCCCTCACATGTCACCTCTCATGTGACTCTTGTCCTGAACATACTACCTAAAATGCACCCTTAGTCCTGTCTGCCTTCAGTGCTTTTTACACCTTTGCATTTTTTGAGCCTATATGAGCTGGGATAATAATATTATATTATATAGTCTATTTTTTAATCTGTGAATTGCCTGTCTTCCCCACTAGAATGTTGAAAGCCAGCTTCTCTGGGGCAGGTATTATTGTTCGCTTTTTCTAAAGGCAAAAATAGTGAGTGGCACAGAATGGTTACTCCCTAGGTACGAATTGAGAGACACGTGCTGTGAGCAGCCATATTCCCGGCATTCTACTGCATTGGCTACCCATTAAGTCAAGCAACTTGAAAATCCCAAACTAGACCGATGTACTTTTATTACCATGGTACGTATTTTCAATTATTTCTGGTGTCTACTTACACGTTGCTTTCCCCAGTTGGAATGTACCTATCAAAATCCTACCCAACTCTGGCTAGGTCAAGAACTGGTCAAAAGTTTCCTCCTAGAGGAGTTTTCCCCAGCCCATTAGTGATCTTTCCAGAATACTTCTATCAATCATCTCTTATGACAATCACACATGCTCTTCATCTAGTATACTGAAAATTGCCACTTATTTCTTAATCTCTTATTTCTATGGGGCTAGGTTGTAAGTTTCTTGAAGTCAGGTAGGCAGCCTGAGAGGCCACTGAGCATCTCATGTAATGCTTTCATGCACTACAATTTTAAATATTTTGACTGATGGAGCAACACAATCCTGGATTTTTTTCCCCTACAATCCAACTGACAATTCTCTGTTTATTGTAAAGATTAATTTGACCCGAAATACTGTCCCTAATTCTAAACAAAGGCATCCACATTATGTTCATATTCTACACAGTTGCCAAAATGAAGATGAGAATGCTGTTTTGATTCTCAGAAAAGAATCCAGTGTTTTGAAAATTAATCAGAGGAACACATGCAAGATTATCCATTTCATTTTGTTCATTTGTAGGACAAATAACAGTAAAATCAACACGTCAAAATTTAGGAATATAGTTTACCTAAAATATTTTAATAACTCTAGAGTATGTGAAACAAATTCTGTTTATAATCAGTATTGTCTTTTAAAAAGACTTTACATTAGGATTCAGAAGAGAAATTCCTCTCTTGCCTGTTTTTGTGGGAGAGGAGTGATGATGGGGAAGGGTCTAGAACACCCCACATCACATGTCGATGACAATGCTAAATGCTGTTGTACAACTTTGATGACAAAATCTTGGTCTGATTCTAGCTGAATAAATGAAAATATTAAAAGACTCAATGAAATCTTGGAAAACCCTTAGAAAATCAGGATATAATAAGTAACAATGTAATGAGAATAAAGATTCAGGAATCTGAGATCAACATTTTACAACTATATCTATATGACAGCCAGTATATTCCTTTACAACCATTCCCCTCCTTTTTTTTTTTTTTTTAAATCAATTAAGCTTTAAAAATGCAGATTGGTTACAGCTTATTTTGATACCAAAATATTGTATCAGATTTCCTGCCTGGCATTAGATGCACAAGTGCAGGCCACAGGGCTACCAACTGTTACACTGTATGCCATGATTTCTTCTCTGTAGTAAGAAAGCACCAGAGACTAGATATCGGTATTCTCAGATCTAGAAATCATACCGAATGTAATAGTAAATCAAGTCAAAGAAGGAATAGAGGCCAACTGTTCCCTATACCATAACAAACCTGTTCTTATCCTACTAGGAAATTTGACAAATTAAGGTTTAAAGAGTAATCTTTTTTATGTTTCATCTTGAAATGAATTCTAAGGAAAATTTCTTCCAGTCTTCTATGAAAACCAAACAAATAAATCTCCCAAATAAAGAGTAACCACAATAACAAAACCCTAAACCACCTTTAGACACTGTGTGTTTTAGCTTCTAATATTTCTCTGGGTTTAAAAACTATAATGACGTGCAAAGTTCACATCACAAATATTTAATGCAGTTGTGCTTCATGCCGGAGTAGAAACAAATCTCCTCTACAATTATGCCTGATTTGTTGTGCAGAAGCCAAAGAAAAGCAGCCAAAGTATAAAGGGGACTACAGATTAAGACTTACCAGTAGATTAAGTCTTGGAGCATGAACATTTAAAGTGATTTCACCATAGTTTTCTTTTTTTTTAAATTTTTAATGTTTACTTTATTTTTGAGAGAGAGAGAGGCAGAGAACGAGCAGGAGAGGGGCAGAGAGGGAGGGAGGCACAGGATCTGAATCAGGCTGCAGGCTCTGAACTGTCAGCACAGAGCCCAACATGGGGCTTGAACTCACAAACTGCGAGATCACGACCTGAGCCAAAGTCGGACACTTGACCAACTGAGCCACCCAGGTGCTCCTCACTGTAGTTTTCTAACCAATCATCTATCAATGAGCTAAAATAAAGATATATACCTTGACAATTTAAAGAAAGAAGCTTTAAAGGTATTCTTTATAAAAAGATGTTTTATGAGCATCTAGTTACATCTTCAGAAAATGTCCTAGTAAACTAAACAACATCAGGAGTCTTTACACCTTGCCTGGAGGCAACCAGCTATCTTCCAGACTGTAAAATAATCTACCTAGATGGGACTTCCTTTGCCTAATGCTAAACCAATTGAGAGCAAATATGCTTTTGTTTTCCTGTGTTTCGTTTTATTTGTATGAAGCATTAAGCACACAACTCAAAGTAACAATATAGTCTTCTTTGTAATGTTTACATATTGGGTTGAACCATGGGAAATCACTGATTTTGGGCCATTTTTGCCTACAATATGGCAATTTCATATAATCTCACCTAATATTATCCCTTATGTGGACAATCATCATACTCTTAATCTTATTAGTTTTGTAGCACAGCTGCAAACTTGTGTTATTTATCATATAAAATTCTCCTCTCAAAGTCCCACAGGCATCAGTCCCTGAGTTAGGGTCCTATAACATGGACTAGTTGGCTTGTGCAGCTCTGGATTAGCATCCAGGGACAGACACTCTGCTATCACTTGCTAGGTGGCAGTTATGCTACTTACACAGCATATCCTCAAAAACATCTGGATTCTTCAGGTCATGAGGCTTTGTTAAGCTTGACGGGTATTGGCAAGGTGACTGTGGACCAAAGATTTTTGATGCTCTGTGATCTCTTCTACGCCAGGCATGCCTGACTTTATAGGCTGACCACCTCATAAGAAGGCATCAGATCTCAGAAGCCACAGATTGTTTTTGCTCCTCTCACTACAGAGGCAAAAACCCAACTCATTGGAATTTATGTTTGAACAGCATTCCTTTTGAGTAAATCATTGAACAAACATAGGTGTGTTGAGCACTATTACAAGTCGCCAATCAATATGGCAAGAACTGGATGTCTCGTTAATTCGGAATGTCATAAGGAAGCTACTGATGCAGGAGTGCTAGGAGGGATATTTTATAAACATGAACACTGTAAGAGCCAAGACCACAGACCTGCTGGAGGTTCTAGGTATCACACCAATTACTGGATTTCCTTCCCTTTGACAATCATCTCCTTGGTTACTCGCCCCCTCCCAACCCCCATGCTGATTTCTTGTCGGAACTTCTCATGAGTGATCTATGCGTATTCTCTGACTGGGATTAACACTGAGAGAACCCTTCAATAACTACAGCTCTTTCTGGTACAAGATAGATTCAGGATGGACTAGACCTTCTGCAGAATTACTCTACAAAAAATACTATTCTTGAGATCTGCTGGAAAAGTGTGCAGTGTTGTAATGTCAAATGTTTTGGTTTGTTCTTTTTTGGCCACGCATTAATAATCTCTCCAAAATATTGAACTATACTGACACCACCAGAGTAGTGTCAGCAAAAGACCATGCATGCAATTCCTCCCATTCATTCTTAGGACTAGTTTTGCATAGGCTAGCTAGCAGGAACTGAGGGCAGCAATGATTTGCCTTGCAAAGGCTAACAGACTCCAACTGAAGTCTAAACCTTTGACTTTACACTGCACAAATAAATTATATGTATAGGTCTTATAAACAAACTTGCAAATACCAGAAATACTTAATCTCTGGATAATCCACCAATAGGGACAAACAAAGGGAAACGGCTGCTTTTCTTATAACTTCTAAGGAGAAACTAGAAGTGAGTGTAGCATCTCTGAAAGGTAATTAACAGAGAAGAAAACCTATTCTGTGACAACAAAGTGAAACGTCACCTGGATAGCACCCAGATAGGAAACGACACAATGAGCAATGAGCGCGGGTTAGCCTGGGCTCAACGTCATCAAAGTAAAGGCATTTCTGAAAATTAGTACTGCTCCCCCTGGTGGCTATTTAGACACATTGTAAATGACTTTTTGTATAAGGTTTAGCCCATTTTTTATCTCCTCTCCCACACACTTTTTACGGAAAATGGATTTTGTCAAATAATTGAATGCCACTTAAATGTCAAAGAAAACTTACCGTAGCAGAATCAAAAGAAAGGATGTCCACAACAGGGGGAGAAGAAGTCTGCAAATCGATGACCTCAAGCTTTGGATTGATCTGTGTATATATACAAGAAAAGTTAACATTAGTTTTTTCTACCATAAGAAAGTGAATGATATTTGCAACAACCCAGAAGGTATTTCCTAATATATACTAAAATTATAATGTATTGCTAAATTCATTAACATGAATACAAAAATTTTAGGCACAGTATTAGCCTATCAAGTCTCTCAATGTATACGAAAAGATCATTATGACCAAGTCAAATTTATCCCAGAAATAAAAAGTTGATTTTATATTAGAAAATCAATATAATTCACCTATAAAGAGATTTTTTAAAAATAAAATAAAATGACCCACCTCAGAAGATGCAGAAAAAAGTCCTAGCCAGTTCATTAAAACAAGAAAAGGAAATAAAAGGTGTTAAGATGTAAGAATTGGAACAAAATAAAGAAAATTGTTATTCATACACAATCATCTATGGAGAAATTCCAAGAGACTCTGTTGCTGACTTAGTAGAAAGATCCAAAAGTGATAAACACAATCAAGTGCATGCCTGTCCGTCACACAGGCAGAAAATGTATTTATGGGGCACCTGGCAGCTCAGTCGGTAGAACATGCGACTCTTGATCTCAGGGTGGTTAGTTCGAGCCCCACATTGAGCATTAATTAAAAAATTTTGTAAAGAACAAAAAGGTATCATTGACAATACCATAAAAATGTAAATACATCAGAAAAAACACACAAAGGTTTGTAAGATCTTATGGGAAAAATAATAAAACCACTGTAAAAGATACTTAAAAAGACCTAACTAGGGGAGCCTGGGTGGTTCAGTTGGTTGAGTGTCTGACTCTTGGTCTAGGCTCAGGTCATGATCCCAGGGTCACGGGATCGAGCCCTATGTCAGGCTCGATGCTGAGTGTGGAGCCTGCTTAAGATACTCTCTCTGTCTCTGTCTCTCTCTCAAAAATAAAAAAAAAAAATATAGAACAACCAATATTTAAAAGCCTGATGTATCTGATTATATCAAAATCAAGAATTTCTTTTTAACACTGGACACCACAAAGTTAACCAACAAAACATGGGAAAGGAGGATAGATTATCATGTCTAAAACTGAAAAAGAAGGTTTTTCTTACACATCTACAAATTAATGTGAAAGAAAGTGATCCCAAGAAAAAAATTATGGAAGAGAAAACCTAACAATTGACCAGCACATTGAGCGATTTTCAGAAAAGTTAGTAATTAGAGCAGATTAAAGCAATATACCACTGAACACCTGTTAGGCTCCAAAAATGAGAAAGCTCAATGATTCCGACCTTCTTTACAGCAGCACTGTTTACAACTGTGGGGGAAAAAACACACAACCAAAGATCCCCAAATGTTCACCCACAATAGAAAAAAACACATAAATCGAGCAAATTACTACTGGGCTAAATTCACTGGGATCCTACTCAGCCATGAAGATAAAATACAATATGCAACAACATATGAATGAATGAATTCAGAAACCATACGTAGGACTCTCAGGATTTTAATGTTAAGTGAAAAAGCAGATTATAGAGAAATATACTCAGTATGACTTCATTTGTATAAAGCTTAAAACCATCTAAAAGTAAATAACATCTAATTATAGATTCAAATATATATAGTAAATAAAAAAGAAAAGCAAGGGAATAATTAACTAGATTGGCTATTACTTCTGAGGAAGGTCACTTCAGAATTCTAGAACACCAAAGAAAAAAATAAAAAATAAAGCCACATCGGGGCGCCTGGGTGGCTCAGTCGGTTAAGCGTCCGACTTTGGCTCAGGTCATGATCTTGCGGTTCGTGGGTTCGAGCCCCGCGTCGGGGTCTGTGCTGACTGCCAGCTCAGAGCCTGGAGCCTGTTTCAGTCTGTGACTCCCTCTCTCTCCGCCCCTCCCCTGCTCATGCTGTCTCTCTCTTTCTCAGAAATAAATGAAAAAACATTAAAAAAAAAATAAAGCCACATCATCATCAATTATTTATTAAAGATTGTGAAATACAAGTTAGTTGGCCAAGGGCAACAAAGACAGCAGAACTTTGTATCAAATGCACGATACCAGCAATGGGTATACAAAAACCCCGAAGAAGATTTCAACTGTTGACTTAGTGAGAAAATCTTTCCCGTGGAGAAAACATAGGAAGGGCTTAAGATGGATCTGTGAAAGAAAGGTTTAGAAAACAAAAACCAAGAGACAGAGATGAGGTCAAGAGCATTCCTGAGCACAGAGGCAGAATGCCGATGTGATACCTTTGCACAGGGTGGTAATAGGAGAGGTTGCCAGGGGCCCACTGTGACACGTGAGGGAATTTTGGAGCCTACAAGGTGCTTTAGCAAGACGAATCGGACAGAGGCGTGTAGGGTAACCGTGAGGACACCACTAGGACAGCCCAGGACTAGGGCGATCAGGGCTGAGCCCATGCGAAGAGGAGCAGAATTACTTTGAAAGAATTTACCATGTTTGATGGGTAAAGTTATCGTTTGGGAAACATGAAGAGGCCTTTATAATGACCCAGCCACCTGTGTTAGAGATGCAGGCCCCAGAGTGCTCACACCACAGAGAAGGGTTAGCACAGTGAAGGAGGATGAGGGCCTATCGGCTCAGCCTGCCAGCACCTTGGTTTCCTTCTGGCTGCTCCGGATGGCAGAAAACACAGCCCCCTCCTATCAGCTGAGTCCGCTCTGAGGGCTGAGATAAGAAACCTGAGGATAAATCCCCTTCCTTCCAGTCTCAGCCCAGCCCTCCAGAGAGACTGCTGGCAGACATTTTATTCTCTTTTATCTACTGCCACCTAGTGTACATATGAAATTATTTACTTACGAAACATACAATCTGGTTTTACTATCTGATATCAGAACTGTTCAAAAACTCTAAATCCCGTGGAAATAGCCTCTCTCGTGGAGAAATCCTTGAGCTTCTTTCTACAAGTTGGAAGACCCTCGAAGTAACTAACAAGTTGCTGACACATACATTAAAATGGAGCAGGCTGTTCTTATTAAGTAAAATCTTACAGTCTTCTCAAGAAGAAAATGTGCAGACGGGGTGATGTTTCCAGTTAAGTTCTTTGCCAGCTAACCTCCAGGAATATTAACAGCACATTCTAGCTCTCCGTCCTTATTAAAGGGAAGGACCCTGTAGTAACTACGCTCACCTTGAAATGGAGTGGGCTGCCTTTTGAGGGTGGCATTTTCCACCACTGAACAAGGGCACGTCATTGAGAGGCTCGTGCAGGAGAACCCTCACACTCACCGCCCGTTCCAAGGCTCTATAAGGAGCGCGAGGGCTGCTACGAACAAATTCTGAAGGGCAAGGGAAATGCCCGTCTTGTTCTTTGTTGCATACTCTAAAGCTAGTATATGTCAAGCACAGAGACACTCATTCTCTGTTAACAGAATAAAACTTAATTTAGATTATTTTGAAGCATTCCATCAAAATGGTTAAAAGCACAAAATGGAATCAGTGTGCCTGGGTTGAAATGCTAGTGTTGCCACTTTCTGGCTTTAAGCTTTAACTTACATGTGCTTCAATTTATCAAGTAATAAAAAGAGTGCTTTGTAGAGTTTTAAGGAAGATTTAATGACAATTTATATAAGTCAATTAGAATAACTTTGCATGTATTCAATATTATTATTATTATTATTACTAATGTTATTATTAAGTAATCTCTGAAGAACATTTATTGAGGCCTAAAACAACATAAACATATGCCATGGCTAGAAATAAAATACACAATTTGCAGAGAAGTGGTCATTTTATACCTGAAGTTACGTTTTCAACCTTAGGAGAAGATTGATATAAAAACTCAGTCTCAGACTTGAAGACTTAAATTGATCCATTTTCAGGAGTGCCAGAGTGGCTCAGTTGGTTAAGTGGCTGATTTTTGGCTCAGGTCATGATCCCACAATTCATGACTTTGAGCCCTGCACTGGGCTCTGCTTTGATAGCTCAGAGTCTGGAGCCTGCTTCAGATTCTGTCTCGCTCTCGCTCTCTCTCTCTCTCCTGCCCCTCCCCTGCTTTCTCTCTAAATAAATAAATAAGTAAGTAAGCAAACCAACATTTACAAAAATGTTCTTAATTGATCAATTTTCAACAATGAATCATGGCCAGACTATCACAAAATACTATTATATAGATATTCTGTTAAGTAAAAGGAATTTTTCCTACCTCTTAAATATCACACAGAATTTCCAGTGCAATTTATAGATCAAGTTCATCTCAAATGGCCATTTTAAATTAAAAGCCACCAGAACAATTATTTTATTAATAAATTCTTTTTAGCTAACTAACAATAATCCCTTCCAATAATATTCTGTAATTCTCCTAGAATAACTATTTTGATGCCTGTTGCCCTTTGGATGGCTTCACTGTCTTCCCATTAAAGTATGCAAAAGCCTAGGGTACTGCACATACACTAAGTTCCCCTTCCAGAAGGAAAGTTTGATTTTGTCTGGGGGCAGAACTGTGTGATTCAGCTCATACCAGTCTGAAGAGGATAAAGCCAGCATGAATCAATGACATGCTATAGCACAGTGTGGTCAGAGTTAAGATACCTTGTTTTCAAATTTGGCTTCTTTCCCACCAAAACAAGAAAGAAGCTGTTCTTACGTTTTTATTTAAGATGGGAGTACCTAGGGGGTGCCTGTCTGGTTCAGTCCATAGAGTGTGCAACTCTTGACTTTGCGGTTGTAGGTTTGATCCCCACACTGGGCTTAGAAATTACTTAAAAATAAAATTTAAAAATACACATTTAAAAAAAAGATGGCATGCCTAGCCCAGGAGTGCTACAAAGGATCTGCAGTTAGGTCAGTGGAAAGGACACAGGAAGGGCCTGCTTCACACAGCTGAAGCTAGGATTGCATGCGTCATGCTTTCTTTCATGCAGCCTTCTCTCATTTACTCTAAAAGTAGCCTGCGATCACCCTCTCTGTCCATGCAGGATTAGTAGTTTCCATGTTTGGCCAGCTGGTCCCCAAGGTCAACGACTCCGCACATTGCCCCACCTTCTAACAAGTGGAGCCAACACAGCCGGCAAATAGGGGCTTCTGCAAAAGCCTGCACAATTTCACCCAGAAGACTGAGATTGTGCCATTCAAATGAGCCTCACAGAAGACACATAAAAAATACAAATCATGAGAATACTATGAGGCTTCAGACTCAGAAATAGGGAAAATAATTAGATCACTTAGGAGCCATTTTTCCCCACATCTTTTAAAAATACCTTTTCATCCTGTTAATTACGAATCCTGGCCTCAAAAAAAAAGTTTTCTAATTTTCCAATATTTCCAAAGTAGAATATGGAAGTTGAACTTGTCTAAACCTTTGAAAAGAAATGAATGCACCAAATTTACTAGTTCAAAGTAAAATTGACTAATCATAAATGGACACAGTACGACTTCTATTATGATTTATACTCTTCCATTCTAGGTGATATTTATAAACTAATCGTCTTTAGGTTCTATGAACGTTCCCTAGACATTAACTTGGAGCGTTCAAAAAATTTGATAGTTAACATTTGTTTGTAAAGATGTCCTCTGTCCAGAAAACCTTACACTTTTGCTTTATCTTAAGAGCTTTTTAAAGGGGGGGGGGGGGGAAGCAAACAGCTGGTTGTTCATAAGCAGCATCCTATCACTCTTATGGCATCCTACGTCACATGAACTAAGGATGTTTTGCAAATGAGCATCAAACTGTGTACTTCATTTAAGCAAACGTGAGTGCTTACAGGTAATGGAAATTGCGTACATGGAGACTGACATTCTTCAGGCCACAAAGGTAATTCAGTCACAAAGCTCACCTTTCTGTTTATAACTGAACTCTAATTCCAAGATGAAAAGTTAGTTTTTAATAGATTTTTCAAGTGTACAAGTGAAAAGTATGGCTGAGGGTGGCTTTGCAAGGCCTGGGTCACCCTGACCGAGCCAACCAAAGCAGCCCAGCCACTTCTACCACTTTCTGGCTGCTGTGTCAAGAGCAGCGCTTCTCAGACAACTTGTTGACATTTCAGAGAGGGTCCAGCACGCTTAAGTGGCCGGGGCCGACAGCAAATCACAGAGAAAATGGCTTGGCTCTCTCACGTGAGGGTGGTGTGGTGTCATGGAGAGATCGCTGACTGAGGAGTCAGGGTCCTGGGGCTCTACACGCCGCCACTCTGGGAAGGTGGCTGAGGGGATGACAGGGCAGCAGCACGGAGGACCAAGCCCAGCCAAGCCCCAGAAATGCCAGAAAAACACACACCACGAGTCAATGGAACCAGCTGGGGGCAAAACAAGAAAAGAGAGAGGACTCAACCTATAATATATCTCCCAAATATTTTATGTGAATACATGTGATCGCAGGGAATTGACAATTACATCTATCACTGTAGAGACTGAAAACAAAAATGTGATTAAACCACAAGTTATATTACATTATTTCTTTCAAAGAAACAAAAAATGATGATGTAATAATGATGATACAATAATAGCACAAAGAGGTACTAAATACTTTGTTTAGAAGAACTGGAAAGATGGTCAGAAGATAGAAAGAACAAAAATTATAGCAAAGAACTGAAAATAAACACCAGGAAGAAAAAAACCAGGACAGAAATTCCTAAATGTGGCTAGACTAAACAAAATCTAGAAAATAATAAAAATAAAAAACTTAAAAGCTTTAAAAACAAAATGCATGCGTGCACACACACAGACACACAGACATACACAGACACACACACACACACACACACACGAACAGAAATGGCTGAAGTAACAGAAAAACCAAGACTAAGGATACCAAAATCAAAGAATCAAAGAACTGATTGAGGTGGAGACACAGGGAGCGTGGAAGGGAGCATGGGACCACCATATAAACAGTGTTGGTGACTGAACTGTCACTCAGGAGTAAGTGTTAACTCAAACAGCTCCTCTAAAAGCAAAGCATGGCTCTGTCAATGATGAAAAATTGAGTCAGATAAATAGGTGATAATGATTTCTGACTTCGGTTCTTGGAAGAGAAAGGGGCTTACAAAGAATCATGCAAAATGGAAAGAAACAGACTAATACCAGCCAAGTATCCAGCAATGATGAATTTTGTCTTGAAAAGAGTAGAACATTTAAATCTATAGGACCTGAGGGAACTTGTAAACAAAACCTATAGCTAAATATATAATTATATACTTCCAAATATATGAAGGCAAATAGTAAAATGGCCTCAGTTATTAGGTTTAATGCCTAAATCTCCTTTTTACCGTCCATGAGATTTTCTTTTTTTTTGCCATAAAAAGGCTGCAAGATACCTGTTTCAATGACTATTATAAAAATTCTTGCCCTTCAGCCCTGTTTTCATCATAGCCATTATATACTCTCCCTAAACACATCGAGAATATAAAGTTAATTCTGGCTTCACGGTCACCACAGGCCTTTGGTTTGATTTCTCATTTCCTATTATTATTAACATAATTTTAAAAGCTTTATTTCTAGGCCTTCAAGAAGCAAATACAAAAGGCTTCAGTAGTACTACACGTTATCATTATTTATAGTTTTATTGTGTTAGTGAACATAATTGTTTCCCTAAGTGATGTTTTAAAACAAAACTAGATTTTATAGAATGAAGTATAATTTCAAGCACCTAGTTAACCGATAGCCCCAAAATGTACACTTACAGATAGTAGAACAAATATGGGCAAAGTACTCACTTCAACAGTCTCAATTTTTCCTTCATGAGGGTGTGGTGTTCTTGGGTATATATCAACAAGATGTGGTGATGAGTCAAAATGTAATCTTTTGAGATTTTTTTTAATAATATCTTTACAACTCAAGTAATCAAAATTAGTCTTCCATAATAAGACCTATAAAAAATTAGTACGTTGGCAGTTATCCACTTGCATGTAAAAGCAAAAGAACCGATTTAAAAAAAAAAAACAACCCAAAAGACATAATTGTCCCTTGTAATAGTCAGGAATGCTAGAGGTGTATTTCAACAATACTACTTTTTCTCAATACTATTTTTTAAGAGTGGAAGGGAGAGATTTAGCACTTTAAATTGCTCTCACGCCCAATTTAAAATTCATACTAAGAAACAACTTACTACTTTAAAATTCTCTTTTAATTTTTCAAAGTTCAAAATCATGTTTTTTGGCTTGATAGTCTACCTTACTCAATAAATCTACATGTTCTATGTATGACTTTGGGTCATCTAAAAAAAGTGCAGATTTGCTACATTAACAATTTATATTTACCATCCTCGAGGAGCTTAACATTTGAAAAACAAGACGTAGAGATAAAAGATGAGGCAGTAGTTCAAGTGGAAGAGCCACACCAGCACTGGGGATTCAGTAAGTTACACGTATAATAATTAAATGTCCAGAGGAACTGCTCTTTGAGGTCCAGAAAGTATCAAAACTGGCACTATTTCAGCTAGGAGACAGCAGACTTCCTGGCATTAAATGAAAATATAAACGCATTGATAATCCTCTTAACATATACAAAATAGCTGGTTGTAAAAACCTTAGCTGAGGTCTTGGATTTCTTTACCCGAACCAAATCAGAAAAGGGGCTGAAAGATTTACAAACCTGTGCGTCTGCACCTCCGGAGCTAAATAGCTCTCCACCTTTTGAAAATGAAACAGTAAAGACAGGTCCCTAGAAAATAAAGGGAGATTTAAAAAAAAAAAAAAGCACTTGGTATTGTTTTCTCATCACCAGGAACACTATTCGTTTTTCATCCTATTCTATATAGACTATTTAGGCAATTAAGTCTGATAGAACACATCCAGTTGCTGGCAACTAATGTGAGCAGAATAAAGATAAAGCACCAACCCAATTATATTTAAATACATATAAAATGATACTAGATTTACAAAGCAATGCTAATAAAAATATGAAAATACACATTTTTCCCTTTAAAGAAAAACTTTTACATGTGAAAGTTAATAAGAATGTCTCTGTGGTTAACTCTCCAACTCTTGATTTAGGCTCAGGTTGTGATCTCATGAGTTTGAGCCCCACACCAGGCTCTGCGCTGACGACAGCACAGGGCCTGCCTGGGAGAATCCCTGACTGCCTGCCTCTTTCTCTGTCTCTTTAAAGAATAAATAAATAAAAATTAAAAAAAGGACTTTCTGGCTTAGAACTCTTTATTCAGAATAACAAACTACCAGCAGAAACTGAATGATATGTCTGTAGGTGAGATGAACAAAGCCCATTTCCTGACCACGATAGGCTTCACTGAGTTCTTTCTTCATGTGGGCAAGAGTGAGCCACTGAAAGTTCTGCCAGCAGGACACAGATAGAAGGAGAGCTGTGACTGTTGAACACTGAGGTCAGGATTGTGAGAGTGGTGATCTGGCATAAGAATGAATGGTTGGAGCCAGTTAAGAAATTGCTGCAATTATCTAGGTGAGAGGTGGTGAGAACCTGAAATTAAGCCAGGACTATGGAGCTGGACAAGTCACAAGATGTCTAAGGACATTAAAAAACAAAAACAAAAAAACCCAAAAAAACAGAGGGATGCTAATGCTTTTTCTATAAAAGAATAATTTGGGGAGGCATCTTGCATTTTTCTTCAAGTAGATCATCACACAAACTTAGGTTATTATAGCCTCATAAATACCTTTAGACTGAAAAATTCCATCATTTTGTATAGTGCTTTTCTCCTAAAATATTGTGCTTGTCTTTTTTTTCCCTATTATTCTGTCCTTCTTCCATGGATATTTTAGTCCTTGACCACTTTTATTGGTTGTTTATTCAGCCTAAATCCATGGATACACATATATCTGAGCTGGTTAGTGTTGATTTCGGCTTCGCTCTAACACAGCTGCAGGACCAATGATAAAGCGAAGCAGGAAGCCAGGCAGGATATGTGAAGGCAGAAAGAAGCCCTTCTCCCCTAGACCACAAAGCCTATTCTATTTCTGGAGATAAACAGCTTATACTTGGCTAAAAGGAAATACCCAGTATATCTTAAAAAAGAGAGAGAGAGAATGCAGGATGCATTCGAAAAGATTTAGAGAAGTTTCAATATTTACCCAGAAAGGAGGAATACTTTATATTCTTAAATAGAGTTTTTATTTAGTGCATTATACGCTGAAGAATGTGTGTGTGTGTGTGTGTGTGTGTGTGTGTGTGTGTGTGTGTGTATCACTGAACAGGTTCAATAAATAGCAAGGCTCTTCCCCATAGGATTCTAAATCAATTGAAAAATAAGACATAAGAATATCATCTTTCTTACTGGTAAGAGGTTTAAAGAGAAAATGCAGCTTTATTTGTGGGCAAACGGGCTTTCTAGAACTGAATCCCAGAATGAGTCAGATTTGAGTACCTAGTCACAGGCAAGACCGGACGAGGACAGGCCTGCCCACAAGAAATATCAGAGAAAAACACTGAGGACAGACTCCCAAGAGTAGAAAGCACTGGGCTCTACTCATTGAATTTCTCCTTCTAAACCCACCACTGAGATTAGTGATGAGGAGGGAGAGGGTGTGAAAGGCTCAGTGTCAGAGCTATGGGACAGCCCCCACATGAGGGGAAAGACCAGAAGTAAGGAAAATGCTTATCCATCCCCATTTGACCAGTCAAACCTGTATTACCTACTGAGGAAGACAGCAGTGGAGGATTAATTTCATGGCCATTGAAAGACACACTGATTTTGACAAGAATTACAATAAATAATATTTCTAAGAGTTGCATCCAGTGGATAAAAACAAAGCCCTGAAAGCAAACATTTTTTTTTTTTGTGATACCAGCAACATGTGCTACGCTTGGAAAGATAATAAAGACACATTATAAAATGGATCAACACTTTAAAATATATATTATTTAAAAAGCACAAATCTTAGTATCAAATACCGTATGTCCTTGAAGTGTATATATGAGCCTTCCTTCTAAGAGATCCAGAATCTTAAGTGTGCTATCTGAGGACGCAGTGATGAGATAGTTACCCGAAGGATGGAATGATACACAGTTAACTCCACCGCTGTGAACTGATTTATAGAAAATAAAAGCAAAAAGTTCAGAGAACAATTTTTAATTCTAAAGATGTTCTTTTGCCCTATGAGCAATATTAGGCTGGAAATAACAATCAATTAGAGACAATGTCTCCACAACAGCAAAGCTCCATGTAGCTCACTAAAACAACTAGTTTGTCATCATACAGCTTAAGCTTCCAGCTAATAATGAGACACAATCGCTTTAAAAGTGAACATATGACATCAAAAGATGGTCTTGTTAACGACATAACTATAAAATCTTCAGATATATACGTATATAACGTGACCAAGAACTGACTACCACCAGCTCACATAAGGTATACAACCTAGCCTTAAATGAAATTTCAGAGCCAATTAGTGGCTTGAGGCTCGGGGGTAAGAGTGTGGAAGTATATTTTCAGGAGCGCAGTCTTGCCAGTGCATCCAAGAATTCATTTTTGGACACCAGCCTTCCAACAGGAGGCAGTATGACACAGCATTCGGAAGGCTGCTCTTCCGAGAACTTTGTAAACAGAAAGCCCCCTGCTAGTTCCATCAATTATTTTAGCACATTACTTACCCTCCTTAAGCCTTAATTTCCTTATCTTTAAAATGGGGACAATAATAATAATAATAATCCTTAGGCTGTTGTAAGGATTTAGTACAGTGTCTGCCACATGGTATTAAACTAATTTTAAAAGGAAAACATGGATTTAATAAAAATCCAATAAAAAAAATAAGAAATCAATTCATTTCTCTTCTAGCTTCAATACATAGCCACCATGGGATGTTGTTTTCTACTAATTATAACACCTCTTTGTGCTCACAGAACCCTTTCTGATTCAAAATTCAGAGTCCATTTCTATCCCTGACCTCTCAGGTAATGCAGATAACCAACATGTGAACATCTTGCAGTAACTTCTTTTTTAAGCCCTGGCATCATTTTTAAGATCCCTCCACTTTCCTCTCCACTCTGACATCCACGCCAGGTTCTCAGACCATGCTGTTGATGGAACTACCTATTCTCTAGTCAATTCAAAGGCAGCCCCTGCCTCTCTTTAAGAGAGTCATACCACACTGAGAAGCATAGGCTGTGGGTTTAAGAGTTTCCTGGAGTAGGCCAGGCATCATCTGGATTCTGTGGTCATGGAAACTGGTACCTTGATAATGCTGGAGCAATTTGTTTACTCTTATATCCCAGATTTTCACGGTATGATCAGAACCTGCTGAAGCTATGCATGTACCATTAGGGTTAAAATCCACAAAATTTGCAAACCTAGAAGGAAAGAATAAGATAGTCTAATATTTTGATTTCTTTACCTTCATTTATTTATTCGAACCTAATAATTAAATGTCTCTTTAGCAAACTAAACCATATAAATGCACACAGAAGGGACTTACCCTACAGAATCTGAGAAGTTATTAACACACTGCTTATTTGCGGTATCCCAAATTTTAACAGTTTTATCTTCACTACATGATACAATTAGCCTTCCATCAGGTGAAAATCTGGAAGCACAAGAAGATTGTCTTTGTGAAAGGCTGCTGACAATCACCCCCAGACCCTACACACACACACACACACACACACATCAGGCTGTACATATTAAATACCAGAGACCACTGTTACCACACCATGCAGCAAAGTCATATCCTACAACCATCTTTCCAACTAAAAATAATCTTAACAAAACAGAAGCACAACAGACCATTTAAAAAATTCAAAATATACTACACAGACCAAACAAGTTTCTTTTTTCCTTTTATTTCTTTATTTAAATAATTCAGTTTTATGGCACCTGTTCTAGGTCTTCAACTTTGCCCTCTTCCCAAGCCAAGTACCTTGTTGTTCTTGTTGTTTATAAGTATTCTTTATCTCTTTCTTTCATTTAGGTCATTTTCTGGTATTATCCATATGACCTAAGAGAGCCTTTACTACTCATCCCACTAACCAGATACTGAGGCTTTTAGGAAGAAATGGATTGGCATGTTGAGAATTAAAATTAAATTATATTACCAACAAAAGAATCAACTCCCCAAGCTGGTAGTTTCCTGGACCTCGGGAGGCCCGAAATCCCCATAGACAGCTTATTTATACAGAACTGAAGGTTCTGATTCAGGGACACACCTATTATTTACATGTCCCATTAAAAACAAATGAGTACATTCTCAGACATCTCATCTACTGTTCTTATGCATCCTCTTCCTTTAAGAACCTTTCCAAAGTTCGTTCTTTTTCCCCTAAGTGGTAGGAGAAAAAGAGAAGACCAGAAGACCAAGAAAAAACTGAAAATTTTTAGACCGTTAGGAAACTCTGAATAGTATTGTTATTATTAATATTTTAGTAATAACAAAACCCAAAAAAAGACAGACTTAGGTCATAGACTGATTATGTTTCAATTTTATTTGCACTTTCCCTCTATGCCCAGATTACTATAAAGGTCATCATTTAAGGGTGTGGATTATAATTGAAGGGATTTTTTTTGTTCTCTCTCCTCTCCTCCCTCTCTGTTCTTAAGGCTGACCTAAAAATAATTCTTCCTGACAGAAACTTTGAATCTATCATTTATGGATTTACCATATTAAAAAAAAATGGAACACAGAAGCATAATTAAGTTCTTTGTGAAATAATCTTTTAAATTTGGGAAAGTAACCTTGCAAGAAAATTATCTTCCAAGCTGGGTAGTTCAGTTTGATTTTATAGTAACATAATATGTTATTAATCTTTTCCTCCAGAAAAAAAGTGTAAGAAACATTAACATATGAAGGACAGTATTACAGAAATGCTTCAAGTAGAGGAAGCTTAAGTTACACAGACCCTGGAGAAGAAAAACCTATTCAGTGTCCTCATGAAAATATAATAATACATAATAATGCAACTAGTACAAGGAATCAAACTGTTTCTTAATGTTGTCTTTTTAAATGTTTATTTACTTATTTTGAGAGAGTGTGAGAAGACAGCGTGAGCAGGGGAGGTGCAGGGAGAGAAGGAGAGAGAGAATCCCAAGCAGGCTCCACACTGTCAGCATAGAGCCCAACACAGGGCTTGATCCCATGGACTGTGAGATCATGACCTGAGCTGAAATCAAGAGTCAGATGCTTAATCCCCTGAGCCACCCAGGTACCCCAATAAGTTTTCTTTTAAAAATCACTCAATGTGAATATTTTAAATAAGAATTTCTAAGAGATTACTTGTTCCTTACATTTTAAGAAAGCAATGATAATGTTTAATAAAATGGGGTGACCAAATTAAAAACAAAGCATAAAAATACTCACCGTTGACATTATTGGCCAAATACCACCACCACCATTATCATCATTATCCTGCCTACATTTATTAAACACATATGTCCTACAATGGTTCTTAACACATTACTTATAACAATTTGTTTAATCTTCAAAATAATCCTACTAAACAGGTGCTACTCGTAGCCTCATTTTACAGGTGAATAAACCGAGGCCCATAAAGGGATCAGTAAACTGCCAGAGTCACAGAGCCAGGAAGATTTGAACCAGGCAGTCTGGTTCCATCGCCAAACCTCTCAGCCACTCTGCTTAAGTCCCTGAAAGAAAGGAAACGTTCTTCAACTGGCTAAATTATTCAGAGCACAGAAGTTCAGCGTGGCTTCTGGGTAACCACAGAAAGTTCTAAAGTGGAGGGAAACCATGAGTCAGTGCTTTTAGGAGGCTATGTGACTGGGCTCTACCTAACAGGCTAACCACTAGACTATCCTTTACTAAAAACGTGTCTGTGCTGCCATACACTGTCAGTGTCCTTGGGGAGTTGATGGGGAAGATACTCATTCATTCAAATATTTACTGTGTACCTGCAAAACCAGGCACTGGGCACTGTCCTGCGCAAACAGAATAAAGTGATGATGAGACTTGTAAGAACCCTACCTTCAAGAGGTTTTCAATCTAGGAGTACAAGGTAGCATTTTAGATAGTGCTAAGAAAAGAGTTTGAAACAAAATGGTGCCAATTTGTCAATAGAAGTTCCACAGAAGCAACAGGATTTTAAAGAAACTTGTGAATAAAGAAAAGGAGGTATCTTGGTCGACTAGAAATTCATCCTGAGCAGGAGGGGCTATAGCCCAGGAGAAGTTCTAGGTGCTAAATAAATGAAGCAGATAAGTAGAGGGGAAGGATGGAAAAGAACCTGGTGCAGGGCAGGGTGGGAGCTGTTCTACCCCGGCTCAACACGACCAAAGGGGGCCTGGGGGTTCAGGCTGTCCCCTCCTCTGGACACCACGTTATAATGGCTGCATATGTTGTCTACATATGTGCTTTGTTTTGTTTTGTTTTGGGTGGGTGCCTTGGGAAGGGTTATAAGTGAGGATGGTGGTTTGTATCTTCTCTTCTCCCCTTTTATTTTAAATTAGATACATTAAAAATAGGTTAGCACCAACAAAACAGGCTTCTCTTTGCCCTGAATTTGGTCAGGAAAGGATAGTCCTTTCTTTTGTCAGGGCTTAAACAACATCTAACTGGGTTATCAATTTTAAGAATGTTAAGAAGACACATAATTTCTACTGAGATATCAACAGATTTCTAACTCTCTAATTCAGTACCACTCAACCACCTTTTAAAACTTCCAAAAAGTGTGTCATGGAGATGGACAGTATATTAGTCAGTAGTGACTGATAGATTAGCAGACATGAATTATCTGTAAGGCATCTGGGAAGTTAACTTAACTGTTCAATCTCTTAAACATACTGGTACTTACTTGAGAGAATCAGGAAACTACTGAACTTCTTTCTAGAAAAAGTGGTTCACAGGTCTTTGAGAACAGCCCAATTGTATAACATAAGTTCTTTAACTTGAAATCTATGGAGTTCATGCAACTGTATGTAAAATTGTATTATCATATGCAAAGCCATAGAGTTATTCACATATCAGAGAGCCAAGGGGTCCATAAACCATGAGAAGTTTGAAAGAGCTTTCATAAGAAATCAAAATTTTCCTTCGGAAATCTCTTATCATTCGAATAAATATTCTATAAAAAAAACATTTCCAGCCCTCAGACCTGTGACACCAGAGTAAGCACTGTTCCATGTCCACTGAGAAATAAATAATTAGTAATTGGTACTTTGAAGCCAGCAGCTAGTCAAATAGGAGGGGGAAGCAGTAAAAAGTAGTGGAAATAGACTGCCCAGTGAGTGTATGGTCCTGAATTCTAGGGCCAATCTGTAACTGTCCGGCTATGTAACCTTGTGAAATTCAAAACCACACTGGCCACCATTTTCTATTTGTATAATGACGGCGTTTGGACTGCATTCAGAACTAAATTTCATAGACTCATTAAAAAAATATATTGGCAGTCTCAGAGTGCGCTTTGGTGGGATTTTGTGTTTACACACTGAAGGTGAAGTTCAAGGCAATAAGCAAAACATTTATGCTTTTTAAAGTGTTGGTCAGCATCAGAAGAGAACCCATCTGTTAATCACAGTAACAGGATTCATTCCTACAGCTGCTGAGAGACAGAAAGCAGATGAAAGAGATATAAAAAGATTTAAGTATGCCATGAAACATGCTAATTATTTGTTGGGTCATTTACCATTGATATGCCCAGACTTCTCTCCTGGGATCTCCACCCAGAAGTACAACTGCCTCCTGGGCGTCTCTCTTGGATATCCTGCAGGCACCCCCAGCTCTGAACTTGTCCAAATCTGACCTCATCGTCTTCCTCCCGAAACTGTCCTTCTCCAGGGCTCCTTTTCTCAGCAAATAGTCCCTCAGGCCAGAAACCTAGGAGTCATGCTTTTTGCCGCTTCCTCCTCTCAACCCCATACTCCAGTCCATCATTAGCCCCTGTCTCTTCAAACCACAGTGGGAACTAATATCTTTCCTCCTCCACAAGCAACAAAAGTCATCTTTTTAAACATGAAATCCTATTTCTCTGATTAAAACCCTTTGATGATTTTACACTTCCCTTGGGAACAAGCCTGGCATCCTTACCACTTCTTACCAGGTCCCCCAGGGTCTGCCCTCCTGTCCCTTCATGACCCTACTTTTCCCGGCACACACCCCTCTTCTCTAGGGTCCTTGCTCCTGCCTCAGGCATTTCCTCATGTGCTGTTCCCTGTGCCTCAAACACTGCCCCCTATTCTTTGTCGAGTTTAAAATACCTAAGAGGATTTTACTCATCTTTCAAGTCTCCGCTCAGTGTCACTTCCTCAGGAAGACTTCCAGACTGCCACCCCCTGCCCGCCAGTAGGCTAGTTCCTGCTCTACTCCAGTAGAGTAGCTCGCGTTCACGCTTAGGTCATCCTTGCGACCAACCATTCTGTTTACTTCTCCAACACACGTAAGCTCCAAGACAGAAACCACATCTGTCTTGCTCACTGTTGCATCCCCAGGCACCGTGCGTGGCACAGAGTAGGTCCCGAGTAAATATTTAAGACATTTTTTAAAACTTTAAGAAATGTAGGTCTAACTTAATATTAGAGCCAATGAAAGCTGATGTTTAAAATCACAATTTGTTATGCAGTGTGAATATACCTAATGAC